TCTCTCTCTCTCTCTCTCTCTGTAGATACGTGCACGCGTCCGTCCAATTCGACGTTCGATTCGCCGACGTCGTTCGGCATCGCGTGTGTAACGTTTTCGTGCGTCTGCATATTTCCGACAGAAGCGGCCAGGCTCGGACTCGCGTTTCACGTAGCGCCGGCGGCTGGCACGCGACGAATGTTAAAAACCTTCTCGAGGTATTTCTGCGAGGCACGCGAGACCGACGCGCGGGACCGCAAACGTGACGGGGGCGGAGGAACCTCCGGGATGGCGAGAGCAAGGGTTTCCGGAACGAGGAGTTGACGTTTGACGAGACCGCGGACGACGAGATGATTCAGACGACGAATTGAACTGGGGATTTTGCGGGTGGATACAGGCTGAGCTGTTCGAGACGAGTTCGATTGTCACGGACGGCGTTGTTTGGCGGCGGCAGGTCCGTCTCTCGCATCGCGTTCGTGCATTTAATCGACAATTAATGCGTCGGACAATGTTGCCGGTTAGATACAAACGATAAAGCGCCTACCTCACCCGTACATCTCGCGTTTCAACGATTTAATTAATCAATCGGCTTGGTCATTCGAAGCCAGAGGATGAATTGATAAGTTAATCGTTGGCTGTTTCGTGATACACTGGTTTGTTCTTCTCTCAGCGAGAGATTATCGGAGGATTATAAATTTGTGGGGAGGAACGGCGGGTTTCAATAGAGTAAACAGAGATAATACGGAGATAATGCTTTTAACGGACGATTGAGGCATAAAATTTCCATCGGAAACATTAAACTAAAAAGAATAGAGAAACTTTGTAGTACAATCTTGCTCGTACAGAAACTTTTATTTGTACATTTTACGAAAAAATCATTTAAATCTCTAAAAATACATTGCTTTACATCTGTAGAATTTCTAGAAAACAATCATAAATCTGTCAGTTTGATTATTGTAGTGTAAACAGTAAAATTACTGGTACCTGATACAGTTATAAGAATTATGTGATAGTTAACATCACATAATTCTTACATTTTGTTTCGTTGAAAAAAAGTTGAAATGCGAAGGAAGGAAGACAAACGTGATACAAGAAAGACAAAGATGGTTTTCATAATTAAAAAAAAAAAATAAAGATCAGATAGCAGAGAAATATATCTTTGACGTATCGTGATATAGATTAGATTCGTTCGCATCGCCTCAACGATGATATTAATGTGTATTCTTTACAAATGAATTAAATAATTTTTAAGGTATGTATATAATTTGTGCATCTTTAGATTACCTGTAAAAAGCATCTGTATTAATTATATCGATTGTAATAATATTGTAATATAATATTAAGATTAATTCCTTTAAATTTCTATTTTCGTCATTAAGCAGCATTCGTCCATACAGTTTCTGTAATACTCTGAGAAACGAATTTACATACACAACCTAATATGTTATCCTCTTTGAATCTCCAATGAATAAATAAATTATTTCAAACACCTCGAATTAGCTGTATAATATTCCAAACGTTCGAATCGTTCAATTTCTCCGACACGTTTCAACATTTTACTCGCAGATATGTATCACGTTAAAAATTTCATTCTTTCGTTCGAAGGAACATTTCCTCGCTGTTCCATGGAGAAATCTCGGTTTCCCTTTAATATCGCCAATGGCCACTGCTCGGGTATTCGAATAACAATTGAAAAACCTCTGGCTCGTGGCACGCAGAGCGTTCGCAACCGCATTACACTTATAACGCTACATTTATCTTAGTAATGCTTCCGTTTCAGCGGGCTCTATTATTTTACGCTCGCGCTGCTCGCCGGCCCCGGAGCTTCACGGTTTATCAAGCTGCAAAACCCTCTTAAATATTCAGCAGGGAAAAGCCTGAAAAAAAAAAAAAAAGAAGAAAACGCTGAGAGACCAGACCGAGCAATTGAAAATGTAATTACCGTCGTTTCATAAATAATAAACGGTGAACGTGGTGGGAGAGTGGCATCGCAACGATGAAATTTCGCGCAAACGTTCGTTTTAGCCTGTAGCTGGCGCAGCTTGACGATTCCCGGGCAATGGTCGACGAGGTGGATGCTAATTTTTGCGACCCGCGGGACGTTTAAACCTGTTTAAACAAATATCCATCCATGTGTCGCAGTCGGTCGTGCAATGCACGGGGAATTCCACGGGACGTAATTGTGCCAATTTGCCCCTGGAATCCCTCGCCCCTCTGCCCCTTCATTCACGGATATATAAAATTAATTGTCGATCCGCTCGCCGATTGTTCACATCGACCGCTTAATTATCAGAACGGTGGAATATTTTATCCTGGCCTGAATGAATTCCCTGTTACGGGGGAAGGGCAGGGAGTGGAAACTACAACAATTACGTTGCGTTGGTCTACTTGAATATTTATGCAACTAGACCGTGTTCCGTCGCTGCCATTCGGGTTAATCGAAAATTCCCAACGCCGGTTTTCTGTAATTCGCGCGCGAAACTAGACGTTGATCGCCGGTGGTTTTTTTAACGACGTTTGAAATATGATTTTCGCCCGTGTTATATTTGTTTCTGAATCAATTAATTTCATTACGTGCGCGGAACGTATTTAAAAGAGTAAAAAGCAAAGTTTCAGACGGAGGAACGAACTCTGAAATGTGTAAACGAGAAATAATTGGCACTCGTTCCTATTCTTATGCTACACAATGGCGCGTGGTTTCGTGCAGATTATCGGTGATTGTGAAATATTATTCCGTACGAGATGGATGAAATATCGTACCGCTTTATTATTCAAATAGTATGCAATTTACGATGTAGTTGCCAACTTGAAAAGAAACTACAGATAGAATCACAATTTTATTTCTATTAGGTGGAATTTAAAAAAAAAACACACACACACACATTTGCAAAGAGCTACGTGAAATAATTCAAAAGAAATTTATACAGAAATGTATTAGTAGACGAAACAAATTTAAAAGAAAAGAAATAAAAATTTCAAACGCACAAAAATATTTTTTTTTTTTTGAAAGCTTCGAAAACTGTTGAAAATTTTAAATCCACCTAGTTCTCAATGTTCATTTTCCTTTTCTTATTATTATATCGAGACATTCCTGACATTTCGGCACGCGAGGACGACGTACGTCAACTTAATCCCGGATTAACGACGAGCCTGAAGATCTGCCGGGGAGAAGCGTTCCCGTTCTAAAACTCATTTCTATACTCCTGTTTCCACTCGTAAGCCTCTAATAACGTCCGAAAGAGGACTCAGAACTTAATCACAAAGCTTCGGCCCCGGCTCTTTTTATTTCGGTCGCGTTTCGAACTTCGCGAGGTCGAGCTGTGCCGCAACTCCTGGCTCCCGAACTCCGTAACGAATCTCGTCAGATACCCCGACCGTCTCTCGTCGGAAATTTCCAAGTATCAAACGAAACGAAAATCATCCCCTCCGCCTAGTTTTCGCCCAGAGAAATCGACACAGTCGTCGACTCTAGAAAAAACCTGAGGGAGAATCGTGGAAGCAAGCAAACGAGTCGATTCGAGGCCAACGTTACGCGAAAATTATGTTCGATCGCGTTCCGAGTGGTCGCGGGGCACAAAGGTGGCACAAAGGCTGCCCGATATCGTTTGTTTTCGAAACGCTCCAACAATTTTCGCGATATCGCCGGCTATTTTTCCAGCTACTCCGCTCTGGACGTCTCTGCGACGACACTTTATTCGCTCGCCTGTTCGTTACTCGCTATTCGTGCAATCAACTATTCCGCCGTGTATGGTGAATAGACGAGTTTTGTAACTTCGTTACGTGCTGTAACTACAGAAGCAGTTGCGTTCGAACGCGAAACCTGGTGTTCCTTTTTTTTGTTTCTTTTTTCTTTTTTTGCCAGAATTTTTGCGGCCGACAGACGCAAAATTATTTGTAAAAAAAAGAAAAGACGATGCTATATATTATTTAAAAAAATATATGTACATTGTAAAAGATAATACAATCGTTTCGATTTTTTTTTTTTTTCAAATTAATAAAAACATATGGGAAATTATGATGAAATTAATATTATTAATATCTTTGTTAAGTTGGAAATTCTGTAACGTTTGATACGATGAGAGGAAATGATCGGCCAAAATAATTCATTGCGTGACAGAATTGTTCGACTTGTTAAAAAACGGAGAACAATTAGAGAATTTGATAAGATTTGAAACTGAAACAGCGTGTTTATTCGAAACATAATAAACTGTCGATACCGTGGAGGAACAAGAAAACTGTGGCGTTCGTTACGAAAGGCAGTCCGTCATTCGGACGAGACAGCATGCGAAATATCCTGCGTGGGAGGAAGTTTTAAATTACGCTGGTGGCGACATTTGTTTAGAAAGGCAGTTTGCACCGATAAACACGAAGTTCTTTTCGAAACAATACAGAGTATATTTCGATCGGCAGCGAGCTCTTCCTTCTATCCAGGTCACCTGTGAAAGGTGTAACAGATCGATGTATCTCAATCGCACGATTTATTTTTTCTTCGTAATCAACAGCAAATATACGATCGTCTAAGTGATATAAATAAACGTGGCAATAAAATATTGTTAACAGTAGAACTGAGATGAACGTTAACTGTGATGCTGATACGAAAGAGTTAAAAGTACCGCTGTGAAAAAATACTGCGTCAGATAAAAAAGTGAATGTAATGTTACTGGCTCTTTCATATACATATATATGCTTTTTTCGAGGGAATGAATATTCATGTAGATATATTTGAATTTAAAATGTAAAATATATTTCGTATTCACGAAATATCATTTTTACTTCCATATTTTCGTGTAAAATTATTTAACAGTCTCTCGGGTTATGTAATAAATGACTATCTTGTAATAATATGTTGTAGGTACATGTTGTTTCTTATCGAAAGAATGTGCCAACATATCGAGTTCCATACTTTCAAGTTCCAAATAATTTAAGAGATTTCGTGATTGTGTTTTGATTTAAATTTAAAACAACACGTCTCCAGTATTGTTCAACGATTTTCCAATCGAACTATTGACAATTACTATTAATAAAAGCATTGCTTTCTTTATTAAAAGATATACCAGCACATGAAGAATTTTCAAATTTTAGATAATTCAAATAAGAGATAATTCACGATCGTACTTTAATTTATACTTTATTTAATTACAATTCCATTCACTCGTGCAATATATACAATTTTTAATCTACATTTAAATGATAAATTCTTCGGTATATTACCTGATGATTTTCTAGTCGATCCTTTCGCAAGAAAATTCTTTACAATAACAATGATCACCATTGTATTATGAGTACCCACAATTAATGTCGTTTTCTTCAAATTTAATCAACATTGCCGCATTGTCTAGGCAATAATTTAACTTGTTATAACGTAACCTATATTCTAGTCAAATATATTTGACATTTAGCGTGCTTATTACAAAATTATATTACAGATTAAAATTGTAAAACTATGTATCAACTCTTATAATAAAATAAAATTTTGTACAGCATTGAAAAAACAACACTACCTATAATACCTTACTAATAATATCGTTATCGCTATCTGTACATAATTATCTAATGATTCTATAAAACGTCGAGTTATGTTGTCACGTTCATTACGCATACACACGGCATCATTGACAGGCTGCATGAGAGAATCAACTACGGCGATTAATATCGCGGTACGAAAACTGTTTCGCTGCACGTGAAGTGGCTTAATGGAATCGCGATAATTAATGGAATTATCACGCAGCCTGGCTGTCTGAAGAGTTTAATCCTTCCGGAAGAGGAACTTCCGCGTCAAATTCATTGAATTCCCAACGAAACTACGAAGTGAAACC